GTGCACAGCAGCTGCATAGGAAAACAGAAACAGTCTTTTCAGCAGTTTAGGAGTTTGAGTATGATGGATTATGCCACTGACAATCTAGAGAAGAAAGGACCAATGGATATTGTTATGCTTCTGATAGGTCAACGCTAAGAAAGGTAGGTGCCAACTTTGTTCTCTATCACACTAATGTGATCTGGGAAGCTATTCTGTATATGTATTGCTTTTATTGCAGGGCAGAACAGAGCTAGGTGGGAAAACCAACTGAATGCTGGGAGACAGAAGGCAGAGTCAGGGAGATACCATGGGAGACAGACACTGGATGGAACCTTGCCAGTAACTCACAGCCATCTGGCCATATACAGAATAATAGAAATGGGTTAAATTAAGATGTAAGAGCTAGCCAATAAGAAGCTAGAGCTTATAGGCCAAGCAGTGATTTAATAAATACAGTTTCTGTGTGGTTATTTCGAGTCTGGACAGCCGGGAACAAACAAGCAGCCTCCTATAACATTAATGGGCTCTGGGGATAGCATAACCCTTGCTGAACTTCAGTCTATGATTTAGCTCTTGAAATAATGCCAGAGCAACAGAATACTATTTTGTCACACTTTCTAAGAGCTTTGAATGTCTAGGGAAAATTTACAACACAATCTAATTTCCCAAAAACCAAGAGTTAAAAATCTCAACTGCCTTATAAGGTCAGCTCCAAATATCCAACATGTCCAAGACTCACAAGTAAAATAGACAATAAGGAAGACACTTAGCTGATTCACTTGTGGATGCTGCAGACAATAAAGGAAAAGGCTAGACATGTAGCCCAGTTAGGAATATGCTTGCCTAGCATGCACAAAGTCCTAGTAGCACATGCTTATAGTCCCAGCACTCAGGAGGAAGGAGGAGAATCAAAGCTTCAAGGTCATTCCCAGCAACAGAGAGCATTTAAGGCCAGCCTGGGCTACACAAGACCTTATCTCAAAAGGAAAAAAAAGAAATCTGTCGCTGTGCTCTCTGTCTGTCTATGGTGTTAATTAACAGTATGTTTGGATAAATAATTAAAATAATTGTTCAAAAGCAAATGTTTTGTTTCTCGGGGAATTTTATCTAGCTATAGCATTTTTTGCCTGCTTACAATAGGTATCATGATCACATTCATTATTCTAACTGAACTACCATACTATTTAAAGAAAATTAGAGCATTACCTAAAGTGTGCATAATTCATTGCAGATAAGACAGTATAAACAAATTAGCATCTTGCTGGGCTTTCCCTAATGTGCGTACCATGAGAGGAGCAAGTCTGAGACCTTCCCTATCTCAGCAAGAAAAACCTTGGAAATTATAAGGAATCGTAGCAAACTGGTACAGCCATTTCCTGATTGCAATTTGTGTGTCTACCAGGAAATGATGCTTAGTCTTTACAGGTGCATCTGATGAACTGACTTTGCTCATGGAACATCTGCTGTTTCGTAGAGGCAAACACACAGATTCTCAGGAGTTGGCACTCCTGTGGTAGACAAACTCTAGGGGAAGATCAGCCTTAGCTGCCTTTTCCTCCCCAAGCAGACCCTGACCTCACTCATCACCTCCCACTCACCCCTTAGTAGTTCTAGGTAACCAGCACTATGAACTGAAGGACTCAAGGTTACACATGCCAAAAGTCAAACCAGTCATGCTTGTCCCAACTATCTCTCACACATTAATCCAAGAATGAGATTGCTGCTGACTTCAGCTTCAGAGTGAAAGGCTTCCTTCCACCTTCAGGCAATATAAGCAAAACCTAGTCAGTGGGGGGAATCCTGATGGGAAATAAACCTAAAAACAGATGTAACTAGTTACCCTTTTGACTTCCTCTTCCTTTGTGTACCTCAGACAAAAGTGTAGCACCCGCAGATCTTTGCAGTGGATAATAAGCTTCTCTGGGTATTTCTTCAGTTGGTCAAACAGAGGCTTCTTTTTCTCATCAAACACTAAGGATCAAAGACAAAATCATGAGTAGAAATGACTGTTATACAGCAACAAATTAACACTAAAGGAACAGGTAGACTGTCAGCTTCTAAGGATGGAAGTCACTCCCAAACGTATTCTTTTTTTTTTTTTTTTTTGCAGTGCAGTTCTGGCTGTTCTGGATCTAAGTTTATAGATCAGACTGGCCTCAAACTCTGAGATCCACTTGCCTCTACCTCCAAAGTGCTGGGATTAAAGGTGTGTGCCACCACATCGGAAATTGGGCTTCCAGCAGGATTCTTTATTCCTCTGGAGTAAGCCTAAGACTCAAATGAACAGACTAGACTCCACCAGTCTAAAAAAAAAGCCCAGCTCTGATGGGCCTGAGAGACAGCTCAGCAGCTATGAGCACTTCCTGATCTTCCAGGACCAGGGTTCAGTTCCCAGGATCCATGTTAGGCAGTTCACAATGGCCTATAACTCCAAAGCAGGGAACTTTTGAACTCTGTTCATGCAAACATGCACACACGCACACACACACGCACACACACACGCACACACACACACACAATAAATCTTGAGACCAGGGAGATAGCTCAGTGGCTAAGAGCACTTACAGCTCTTGCAGAAGACAGGGTTGGTTTCCAGCACACTCATGGAGGGAGGCTAACAACCATCTGTAACTCCAGTTCCAGGAGATCCCACACCCTCTTTGGTCTCCTCAGGAACCAGGCATGTATGCGGTGCACATATATAGACAAACACTCATACACATAAGATTTAAAAATAAGTAGACACTTAAAAGGGGAAAGCTGCAAAACTGCAAAAGTCGCACTCATAAAGGATGGAAGGAACAGTGCTGGGGATATACTTTCACACTAGCCAACTCCTACACTGATGGCTAGAGTCCCTCTTGACATTTCCATCCATGTTCCAGAGCCTGAACTCACTACTGGTGTTGAGAATACCATAGGTGGCTGAACAATTTCTGAAAATGTCCTAAACTCCAAAATGGAAAACAAAAAACAGAGTGAGGCTTGGAAGGACAATCTTATTAAGTTGACAAAAAAGATATCCTTAATGTTATACAAGTTTTTTTTTGCAATGTTAAACAAGTTTTTTTTGTTCGTTTTTTTGTTTTGTTTTGAGACAAGACTTCTGTCCTGGAACTCACTCTATAAATTAGGGTAGCTTCCAACTCAAATCCACCTTCGTCTCTGCCTTCTGGGATTGAAGGTGTGCACCATCACACCCGGTTCAAGTTTTTCTTTTCTTCTTTTTTTTTTAAGTTTTTTTTCTTTAAATTTTCATTGTGTATACTGACTGATCATGGTGCTATGTTTTCTAAGGACACTGTCATACAAGCATTTAATGTATGTCAAGCATATGCCCATTACCTACATACAGTGAACCTTAACTGATCAACACCTACCAGGGAACAGTTTTGTGTGTTAGGAAAAGCAGGCTTCAGGCTAGGTGTGGTGGCTTGCACCTGAAAACCCAGCACTTGGGAGCAAGAGCCGGAGGCAAGAAAATCAGAAGTCTGAGGCTAGTGGGCTACATTAAATCAAACAACCAAGCAAACAAAACACTGTCTTACCACACCCCCCAAAAACAAGGTGAGTCAGTAAGTAAAGGGCCTCCCCACTAAGCCTGATGACCTGAGTCTGATCCCCAGGACGCACGGGGAGAAGCTCCTGCATGCTGTCTTCTGATCTCCACATGCACACCCACACAAGTATATACACTAACACACAAATCTTAACAGAAAAAAGAATGAGATAGAGAGAAGAGGATGCAAGCCCAGCTTGGTTCATCTCAAACCAAGTAACCCATGCTGCACTTACCATTCCCAAAGCTGTTTTCCATAAGGTAACTTAAGAAGCACAGTTGAACAGACTGAAAGATATCGTTATTGCTGTATGTTCTGAGGCAAGCAACGCAACAAAGGAAGGAGACACTCACCTCCATAAATCTGATCCACACAGTGAAGGGGAACATCATTTTCTCCTACTATCTTATTCTTAAACTGAGTTTCCTAAAAAGAAAAAAAAAATCAAAAGGAAATAACTGTGACTCCTTTCAATGAACTCGGACATTCATAGCAAAGCAAATATTCTCCACTTTACAGAGAGAAATGAAGAAAGGCATCTCCCTCAGGTCCCCAAGTAAAGGGATGCTGCAGTACATGAGAGAAAATCCCGTGAGCACCAGCTGTTTCAACTCAGGGAGAACACGCCACTTCTGTGCCACTGAAAACCAAGTGTACAACTGACAGGTTAGCACTTCTGCACACAGTGCAGGCAGACGGAGACAAAGCTACCTGGGCAGTTTTGGGGAAGCAGCTGGAAAGTAAAGTATTTGGCAAAAGCTGTGTTTGCTCAGAAGTAGGAGTCAAGCCCTGCAGTAGACAGTGGTGCAGGAGGCCAGCCTGGGAAGTAGCAACAGTGCTGCTTTATACGAAGCACAGGGATCCAGGGCACTGCCACATGGGGAACAGGCAGGGTCTGGTGGGCTTCCCACTTGGGTGCAGCACTGTCCCTCCTCTACCGCTCCCCCCTAAGGAGACACAAGTCTCAAACAACACTGCAACTAGATTCAGATCAAACAGAAACAACCCAAGCTCAAAAGTCCCACTCCAGACCTAAGTGCCCAAATCTGTGAAAGAGCTTAGCAGAGGGAACATGAGAAACTGTACATGGGAGAGGCTGTTGCAACGAGTGACTCACACTGTGCTGAATTCAGAAGAAATCGGGGAAAGTTGATGAAGTCAACTTAGAGGGGCAAAAGCAAGCAAGTAGGAAGTACAGGTGGTGATTTCTAGGTCCTCCTGGTGGAGGGAGCCCCTGAAGGGCCAGAGCAGACCACTAGCGGGAGGGCCTGTCCTTCGCTTGGGCTGGGAGGAGAAAGCTGCAGGGACAGCACCGGAGTCACGGCTGCACCTTCCCTGCCACTCTGCAGACGCAGCTCATACGTACACCGCCGTTAACCAAGGCTGAGTCGTTATCCCCCAGGAAGGAAATCTTGAAGTCAGTGCAGACCAGTCTCCCATAGACACCGCGCTGACAGGAATCTTCCTGCACATACTTCAGGACTGTGCTGGCTTCACAAAGCAGTTGTTCACCTGATGGAAACCAAAGTGAGCTCTCCTCAGAGGCCTCAGGGAAGGCCCAGAGCTGCGAGCACCAGGACAAGCACCAGTACAGCACAGAACGCGGCAGCAACACACTCCAGAGCAGGCAGAGCCAAATGGCTCAGAGAGGGTCATGCTGGGATTTCTCCGACCACTCATGAGCTCAAGCTTCTTCTCTCTCCTTTGTTTGGAAACAGGATCTCACTATATTACACAGAGATTCATTGACTAGCCTGGGCTGGCCTAAACTCACAATTATCCTCCTGCCTCTGCCTCCCAAGTGCTGGGATTAGAGTTGTGCCCCTTTGCCCTGACTTTCAGCAACCTTCTGTAGTGCAGATCTTGGTGTTTTTATTACTTTGACCCAGCAGGTGCCCCACAACAGGGATCCTGGAAGTGGAGCAAAGGTAGGCAGGGTGGTCAGCAGGGTCTGGATTCGGAACTCAGCCCCATTTTCTGTGTAAGCCAGGGCTTCTGTGCAGCTTCCTCAGACGACAGAGGTGCTGGCTCATTTTGGAGGATGAGAGGGAAAAGGAGGTCATAAGATGGGGAGGGGGCATAGTCTCTCTTTCTTAGTTCAAAGCATTTCCTCTCAATGTGCCACCTCCCCTGCTCCATCTGCAAGGACCCAGCCCACATTAGAAGCTATAGTTCCTGAAGACAGATTCCACAGTCAGAAATCACCAGGGCTGGACCTAGGTGAGCACCTCTGCTCCCTAGAAGAGAAAAATCTGCTGGCATTTGGGTGAGGACAGGAAGAGAAGGACATAAAGGAAATTAAGAGTGTTGGTGGAGGCTGCTCGTTTGTTCCCGGCCACCCAGACCCAAAATAATCACTCAGAAACTATTTTAATTGCAATATTATTTGGCCAATAGCTTAAGTATATTGCTAGCTAGCTCTTATATCTTAAATTAACTCATTTCCATTATTTTATATTTTACCATAAGGCTTATGATTTACCGGTAAAGTTCCCAGGCATCTGACTCCTTCCATGGCGTCTACATGGTGTCTCTCTGACTTTGCCTACTCTCTCTATATATGTTTTCTAACCTGGCTATATTCTGTTAAGCCATTGGACAAAAGCAGCTTCTTTATTCACTAATCAATAAAAGAAACACATATACAGAAGGACTTCCCACCACCATAAGAGAGCCAACTTAGCAACAACAACAAAGGAATTTTTTTGTCATTTAATAGATAACCATCTTCCCCCCTCAGGGCTTCCCTCTGGCTTTCTTCACCCTTGAATTCACTTGTTGGCTAAAAATTCGTTTAATCTAGTTTTAAAGAATAATATCAGGCCAGTGGTGGCACACACCTTTAATCCCAGCAGAAGCAGGCAGATCCTTAAGGCCAGCCTGGTCTACAAACTAAGTTCTAGGACAACCAGGGCTATACAGAAACTCTGCCTTGGGAGGGGGACAAAAAGGTAATAAAAAGTTAGGTATCCTTGTTACAGGAAAACACACATTATAAGAAAAACAAAAACCTTTTGGAACTGGATGCAATATGCACATCTGGGAGCCCAGTATTCAGGAGAGGGAGGCAGAAGGGTCACAAGTCCCAGGTCAGCCCAAGCTCTAGGAAACCTAGTTTCAAAATAAACAAAACATTTATAAAAAGAAAGGATTTTTATACAGCTGGCAACATTTTCCACGTAAGAAGGAGCTATACTACCAAGAGGTTTCTGTTCTTGAACTCAGAAGTGATTAAAACTTAACTGAGAGTTGGCCACTCTCCTGTCTCAAAAACAGTCAACCAACCCAGGCTCCTTCATAATGAATGACTTCAAAGCAGAGCCCCGGTAACTCTGCCAGCCCTAGTATCTCTGGTACCTGTGCTGAAATACACCAGCAGACAGTCAGGTGAGGCCCCCACCGCCAGTGCTGGGAGGCCCAGGCAGCTGTGAGAGCTGAGAGCAACTATGGTTAGAGGCAGCAAGAAGGACATGCAGACTATCAGATTCTTCCAGGGTCTAGGATTTTCTTTATTGGAGACCAGAAATACTAGACAAAACCAAGTAGGACACCCTCAAAAAGGCTTCACTGGCTTGTGAATGAAGTGAGAATTTCCCATCAGGTTGGGGGAAAGGAAAACAAGGAAATTCTTTCCAAATGTTGTAACCCCTGGGTCAGGTGTGTAGCTACTGAAGACCTTGACATCTTTGTTATGATACATCATCATCACTGTTATGTGCCAGAGCATGAAAACAAAGGAGTTTATAATAGCAACACTAGAGATGACATCATCTATCTTTGGCCTTAAGCTATAGGTGAGATATGATGTTAACATGACTGTTACCTGGCAACAAGTGAAGAGTGACTTCCTTCTCTGTTACTTCCTTTTCATTTGTGTGAATTTCCTAAAAACAAATAAACAAATAAATACAAGAGCAAAAGGTCACAATTTTCTTTGCTTACAGGCTCAAATTAACAATAAATTAACATCCCAAATACATATTAAACTATCACCTAAGCTCAAGAAGTTTGACTTAATAAGCTATTGTTATTACATTTATTTATTTGTTGAGTGTGTATAGAGATGCACGCACAGGCATGTGTCACAGCGCGCACGTGTGTGCGTGTGTGTGTGTGTGTGTGTGTGCTCGCACATGTAGATCAGAGAACAACTGGAGGGAGTAGGATTTCCCCTTCTACATGTAAGTCCCAGATCTTTAGGCTTGGTAGCAAGTACGTTTACCCACCAAACTATATCACTGACCTTTAACAAGCCACTTTTAAATACACGTTTAGGGGCTGGAGCTGTCACCTAACATGTATAAATTCCCAGCATATGAAACAAAAGCAAACAAACAAACAAAAAACAGGATGTGGAGCGATGACTCCTTTAGTAAAGTACTTGCTACACAAGCATGGGGACCTAAACTCAGTCGCCAACACTCACATAAAAGCTAGACACAGCAACATGCACCCTCAAAGCAGAGACAAGACAGCCCTGAGGCTTACTGGCTAGTTGTCTAACCAAACAGGTAAGCCCCAGGCTCAGTGAGAGACTGCCTCAAAAATCTCCAAAAAGAACATGGAAGACAACTAAAGAAGACACCCAATGCTAAATGTGACCTCCACAAGCACACATATGCACATGTACCTGCATATATTTATACATATACAAATAGGATGTAGCAGAAAATGTCTGAAAAAACAGCACTTAGGAGGGGGCAGGAGGATCAAGAAGTTCAGGGTCATTCTTGGCTATATAGCAAATATGAGGCCAGCCTGGGCTAATGAGACTCTGTCTTAAAAAACAAAAATAGAGCCATGTGGTGGCAGTGCACACCTTTAATCCCAGCACTTGCGAGGCTAGGACAGGCAAATCCCCAAGGCCAGCCTGGTCTACAGAAGTAGTTCCAGGAGAGTCAGAGCTAGCTACACAGAGAAACCTTGTAAAACAAGGACAACAACAACAGCAACAATAATAGGACAGAATGGTTCAGTGTAAAAGCACTTGCTACCCATTCTGATGGCCTGATCATGTGGCTGCTGTGGAATAATCCTCTTATACACTGTAAAGATTTGTCACTCGAAACAGCTTAAATAAAAATGCTGATTAGCCAGCAGCCAGGCAAGTATAGGTGGGACAACCAAACTAAGGATGATGGGAAGGAGAAGGGACAAGTGAGGAGTCACCAGCCAGATGTGAACATGCCATGCTAGTAATAAAAGTACCGCCACATGAGAGAGCGTAAATAAGGAATAAGAGTTAACTTAAAGTGTGAGAGTATTAAGCGTGAGCTATTGGCTGAGCATTTATAAGGAAGAGTAAGCCTCTGAGTCAATTATTTGGGAAGTGGCTGCCAGTTATGTGGGAACAGGCAGGCAGAAGAGAAATGCCCAATCACATGTAGCAAAAATGAACTAACCCCACCAAGTTGTACTCTTTCTTATTAATGCCATCACATGAAAAAAACACACAAACAAACAAACAAACAAACAAACAAACTTATATTTTTATACAAAAACGAAAGACGAGGTATGGTGACCCTAACTGTATGCATAGCATTTGGAAAGTTGAGACAGGGAGCAGGAGTTTAAGGCTATCACTGACTACAGAGTGAGTTCCAGGTCAACCTGGGCTACAAAAAACCCTGTGTCAAAAAACAATAAAACGTGTGTGTGTGTGTGTGCGTGTGTGTGCGTGTGTGTGCGTGTGTGTGTATAATATTTTTTTAAAAAAATAAAAGTGGACAGAAAATTTCAGTAAGTTTTAGTGATAGTCAACATATTAAACTAAGTTTTAAGATTTATATCTACTAGTTGTCCAAGCAGAAAGGCAGAGGTAAACATCCCTTATAGGAAGAAATAAGTTAAAATGACACCTAGGCAAAGAAACATAACTCAGATACAGAGCCGGGAAAAAATAGGAGACATGTCAGAGAATGAGATCTTCTCCCTCCAAAGAAAATCAAGGGTTGAAAGCAAGAGAGATCAAGTCTTCTTAGGAAAATAATAATCTATCTATAAAAGACAAACAGAGGAACACAGGACAGTATGTACTCTGTACAGATCCAACTACTCTATGTAGCACACTAGGTTAGGACTCAATGAAGACACCTGTAATATCCACTATCCATGACAAGTTACTTAAAACCAGAAGATGTTATCAAGAGTTGCAATCACTTCTAATGGAGAACCAAGGCCTAGCTCAATGTCAGTAACTATAACTCAGGTCCCTCTATTTTGTGCTCAGCATTTACTGGCTATTCAAGGATAATTAGAAAACTTTAATGAGTAATGTTTGCAAAGTGACGGCGCAAATACTTGCTAACATAACAAGAGTCTAAGTCTCCTAGTGAAGTCTATAAGCCATATAAGAAGAAAGTATTCCTACCAAAATACCTAACCTCAAACACACCTGGAATCCAAGGCTTGAGAGACAGAGAGATTTGTACATTTGGAACAGCATGAATTACACAATAAAGTTTAGGCCAGCCTGGGCTACAGAGTGAGACCCAGCCAAGGACAGATGACTAGAAGAGGGAAGGGAAGGAAGGAAGGAGGAAAGGAAAAATTCAGGCTGGTGGTGGAAGCCTGTGGTCCTGGTCACTCATTAGGACAGAGAAACACAATAAATGACACCATGGGGATAATGTAATCAGTCAGTTCCTGATTGGAAAATACTAAACGGCACAGCAGTTTGGTAAGCAAATAAACTGGGCTTATTTAATGTTATGTAGGTAAAAGGCTATGGGTAGAATAAGAGTCTGACTGTGATAACCCAGACTAAAACACAGCATCAGAATAAATGTGGGTGTGGCCGAGGCAGTGGGAGAGCAGTCAGCCGTCTAAAGAGACAGTGCTCAGTGCTGCTGCTTCCCTCAGAGAACCCTTTCAAGGCAGTCTATTTCAGAGGAGAATATGATTCCATCCAGGAGATGCCACAACCTGGGGACAAGCTGCTCAAACTTAGGGTGTGTTAGGAGTCTGGGGAGCCTGTTAGGGGAGGCTGAGCAAGCTATTCATGTACATACATGTACAGATGAGTATTTGGTAATTTAGCAGTTTTCACTCAGAGTTTCCATTCTCCATCACAGAGGAAGAAATACATTAAGACACGATTACTTGTCAGGTCCCATCATCCTTCTCTGAAGAGAGCAAAGGGAATCTCTAAATTCTATCGGCTGATGAAAACTGTAGCGTTGGCCTTGACTAGTGCTTAGAATCCAGTCCAAACACAGGCCAGCTGGGCCAGGGCTACCCTGCTCTTACATCAGCGGAAGTATCCTGCCTTTATAAATATATACTGTGGAGCCCAGGTTGGCCTTGAACTCAGGATCTCTTGCTTCAGCCTTCTGAGTACAGGGATTACTGATGTACACCACTATGCCAGGTGTGAAATTCTTTCTTTAAATTCCAAAATCAATATCATTCAGAAAAGCATGTAGTATACTGTCTAATCCCAAACTCCCTAGATGAGGCAGGCTGAACAAATAAATAATAACAAACAAAAAATAAAGTAAATAAGTAAACAAATGAGTAAATAAACAAAATAACCCAGTCTCTTGGAAGGACACACTTCCCCGTTAACTGCAATGGGAACTCACGAGAAGCTTGATTTTTACAAACACAGGCTAATCACTTTATCTTTCCTATTAAGGTCTCTGCAGGGCTCAAAGATGGTGATCAAGATGGCAGCTTCACCTGCAGACTTGAAGACTAGGCCACAAGCACGGTGAAGTAGAGGAAGCTATTCTGCAGATAGTGAGACACATGAAAAGGTTGCAGGAGATGGGGGAGATACAGGTATGGTTCTCAGAAGCTGACAGTTCTTTGAGTCATACCTGTGTCGCTACAACCAATTCCCTTGCTAGCATGCATTTATCATAGTGAAATTCTGTTTATTGCCAAAGATGCTGACTCTGGTGAATCTCCTAACAATGAGAAATCAGAGGTGACTAGACTCATATCACCAACACATCAGTGTTACAGTGTTCTTCAGAGCCACGGGATGAGGGTCTGATGTCACAGCCACCACCTCAGGAGATTGGCAAAGAGACAAAAGAAGCACCTATAGCCTCAAATAGGTGAGGCTCAGGAGGGGTGAGGATAAATGGGCCCCAGCCAGTGAAGCCCTCACAGGCCCTGACATTATTCTGCTGGTACTGATGCTGCTTGAACAGCTTTCCTTGGTTCAAGCAGCATCACATTCCCATCACGACTGAGTGCAGACAGGTACATCCTCTCCTACCCCAACACACACCAGGCAGAAAACCACTTTAAAAACTTAAAACCCCATAGGTTTTTCAGTACTCAGTGACTGAGACAGGACGATCATCGGTTCGATGCCAGTCTGGGCAAACAAAAAGCAAGATTATAAAAATCTTAAAACTTAACAAAGACTGAAGAAATGGGGCAGTGGTGGAACATGCCTTTAATTCCAGCTCTTGGGAGGCAGAGACGTCAGGAGCTGAGAGTCTGAGGCCAGCCTGGTCTACAGAGTGAGTTCCAAGACAGCCAGGGCTGTTACACAGAGAAACCCTGTCTCGACAAACAAACAAACAAACAGAAGAGATTAGGTGTGGTAGTACATGCTTGCAATCCCAATGGTGGGGAGGTTAAGCCAACAAGATCCCCTCATGCATCAGACAGATTAGCTTCAGACCAGAAAGAGATGCTATCCAAAAACACAAGAGATGAAACGACACTGATTGACTTCTGGCCTCTACTGACAGAACACTGAATAAAAATTCTACATTGTTCTTAACCCAGTTGTTTCCAAACTAAATCCTGTATGTATTCATATATACATAGACACATGCATACATGTTTAATTTTCTTAAAGGAAAATATAGTATACTCTTAAGGTAGATGAAGTGTGTAATTACACAGGACAGTCATTTCTAGAAGACAGGTCATTTAAATGAATCCTTGATAAGCGCTGGAACCAGGCAACGAAGGAAAAACAGGCGCATGTAGTCCAGCATGGAAAACAGTACCAAATCCCTTTATAATACACTGTGAAGGATGCTCACATCAGGCCCTGCTACAGGACTGCGGGAGCAAGCAAGGCATCCAATTGCAGGGAGACCGACAAACGAGGAGAAAGAAAACAGACTGGCAAGCATTCTTCTGAGAAATGACAAATGAGAGCATCAGCAGATAGACAATGCAGAGAAGATACAAACAGTGGCAGGTGACACCCTGAGAGGTGAGAAACAGGCTGGGGCTGGACAGCTTAAAGGAATTTGTGTACCATCTTAAGGGATTTGGGCTTTATCCCATGGGCAACAAGAGACAAGGGAGGTAAAGGAGTAAACGGAGCATGTAGTATTCACCATCTACAATAAATGTCATTCAAGAGAAAGCACAGGGCTGAGCCAGGAGCACAACTGGACTGTAGCTGATAAGGACAAGTGTCCTGCTCTCAGAGAAGAATCCAAAGGGAAGAGATGAAGAGCTGAACTGCCTGTCTTGTGACACCAGTATTCAAAGAGCCTGTGCAAGTGTCAAGTCATGTCATGGAGGTCAGTCTCAGTATCCGCATCCAGAAGGGAGGTGCAGTGCTTTGGCTAGGTTATAGCTCAGTGGTAGGCCTCACTTAACATGAGAACTTGGGTTCAAGCCCCAGCAATTAAAACAAAGAAACAAAGAAGGGGAAGAGGAGAAAAGAAACTGAAAAGGAAGACCCCTAGAGGAAGACCCACTGTCTCCATTCAGAAGCAGGTCACAGCTAACATGGTGTTCAAAGAACGCTGTCAGCCATGGAGAACTCTTCCTGGAGTAAGGAAGAGGCTGGGCTTAGTACAACCTTTCATTTTAAAAGCACTCACTTCTTCCTTGGGATAATTTAAATACATTTTAATACTGGTACCAAGCTGCTAACTGAAAATCCATCTTGTTTCAACCTTGGGAAAACCCAAAAGCAACAAAGTCACCCAGGAGCCACATATTTTATGAAGCATTTGGCGATTTCAACACCAGAAGAGCAGAGCCGAAAAGCCAACAGATTCCTAACCTGCTCAACTTCCTACCGAAACTGCCACTATTCATCAACACTTCCTCTGCGTTGGAGCCAGGAAAGGAAAGGTCAGAGCACGGAAAGACAAGGTTGCTGCTGCTGAAGACAATCTCATCACCAAGTATAATGTGGGATTCTGTATGTTGTTAATACCATTGGTAAATAAAGAAACTGCCTTGGCCTGTTGATAGGGCAGAACTTAGTTAGGTGGGGAAAATTAAACAATGCTGGGAGAAAGGAGGCAGAGTAGGGAGAAGCCATGGAGCTGATGGAGACAGACTTGCTGACACTTTGCTGGTAGGCCATGACTTAGTGATGATGCACAGATTAATAGAAATGGGTTAAATTAAGATGTAAGAGTTAGCCAATAAGAAGCTAGAGCTAATGGGCCAAGCAGTGATTTAAATAATATGGTTTCTGTGTGATTATTTTGGAGCTGAGCAGCCGGGAATCAACAAGCAGCCTTCCCCTTACAACACAAGTATATGCAAGTCTTTGTGTCCAATGACGCTAAACTGACTACACCAACACCCTGTTCATCCCACATCTCAATCACACAGCTACCTCACCTACTTGGAATGCTGCCAAAAGTCATAAGCCCTGAGCAGCAATAATGAATGAGCAGTACTTTGCACTTAATGACAAAGTGCTCCCTAGTCAGCCTGACAGACTGACCTGCATGCTTTAACTAACAATAACAGCCAACAATAATTTTTTTCTTAGCATAGCCATAATCTCCATTCACCTCACAACCCACAACTTTCTCCATTTCACAGACGAGAAACTGTAGCTTAAAGAGGATCAGCAATCAAGCTTCAGAGGAAAATGGGGCATCAACCTGGGCTAGAAGAGACCCTAGCTCAAAGAAAATCTCACATGTGCATCTTCCTCCCAACCATGCCGTGTTCTGCAGAGGCATAAGCTTTTATCTCCATTAGCACACCCCTTGGACAAAGGACCACAGGCTGCGCAATGTGACCTTTACCAATACATGAATTATGAGTTACTACACCACAACCCAGTAGACATTATGGACTCAGAGTTGTTCAATCTTTGGATAACGGTCTCCAGTTCTCTTTCAAAGTGAGCACAAGGCCAGCCTCACTGGGAAAGGTGAATGAAGACTAGTGTTTCTTGAGTCACAAGCACATGGTTTGTTTAAAGGGCTGTGTATTTATTAGTTCACTTACTCCTCACAGCAACACTCTGAAACAATCGTCATACTCTAGAATATCTCCTTTGCAGATGGAGGCACCAACTGGTATATGAACAGTAGAATTCGTGCTCAGGTATCTATCCTCACCTATTCTGTGCTCTTGAAAAATGCCACAATGTGGGCTGGAGAGATGGCTCAGTGGTTAAGAGCATTGCCTGCTCTTCCAAAGGTCCTGAGTTCAATTCCCGGCAACCACATGGTGGCTCACAACCATCTGCAATGAGGTCTGGTGCCCTCTTCTGGCCTGCAGACATACACACAGACAGAATATTGTATACATAACAAATAAATACATGAATAAATAAATATTTAAAAAATAAAAATTAAAAAAAAGCCACAATGTCTCTTGAATCAAAAGGAGAAATAGCATGTAGCATGAACAATAAAATCAGAGATAGATATTAGGGTTCAAGATGAAGATCAGAAAAGCAAAGCAGTCAACCACTACAGAGACCTTTTACCTCCACCAAATCTTCAGACCAAAGGGCGAGATCCTATCTCCACAAAATCTCAGACTCCAAACTCCGGTGTGCTCCTGTCTCTTTCCCTTTATATTTCCCTCTCTGACCAGTCATATCACTCCTATCTCCACCTTCCTAGTGCTGGGATTAAAGGCATGAGCCACCACTATCTAGATCTGTTTCTGGTTTGTGTAGCCCAGGGTAGCCTTGAACTCACAGAGATCCATCTGCTTCTGTCTCCCAAATCCTGGGATTAAAGGTGTGTGCCACTACTTCATGGCTTCTAGTAGCTTAGCTTTGCATTCTGATCTTCATGCAGGCTTTATTCATTAAAATACAAATTAAGTATCACTGCAATGGAAGGAAAAAGAAGACAGGATGATCAAATCACTCTTAGTCCCACTTGAAGTCAGATCAAAGCAAGTGCCACAGAGAATGCCCACAGAAACTGAATGTGCGGCACATGCCTGTAATCTCAGCACTTGGAAGGTAGACAGGTTCAGGAGTTCAAGGCCTCGGCTATCCACAGTTAGTTGAAGGCCATCTGGGGCTACATGAGACCACCCTGTCTTCAAAAAAAATGGGTGGTGGGCAAAGAGAAAGCCTCAAAGATACTGATGGAAAAGAATGACCTGCTGTATTAGTCAAATACTAAAGAAAATCAAGGGAGAATTTATTTACATTACCCACAGTTTGGTGTTAATCCATCACAGCAGGAAGGCAGAGCAGAGCAGAGCAGAGGAGATCACACAATGATGGACAAGAAACAGAGAGAACAGTATACTACAAGGAACCAGGGTAAGATCTAGCCCTCAAGAACACACCCCCAGCGACCTATTTGTTTCAACTAGTTCCAACTTCCTGTCTTCCACCACCTCCCAGAATGCCATCATATAAGTCTATCTAGGGGTCATCCACTGATTGGGTCAGAGCCCTAGGATTAACTGACTCTAGAAACTTTTCACTAACACACCCAAAGTGAGCTTTACTAAACTCCTCAGCATTTCTTAATCCACTTAAACTGAACCAAAATTAACCATCACACTTACTCGACACAAGTAATGAACCAAAATGACACTGGCCAGTAATATGGGGGAAAAAAAATCTTGAGCTTCATTCACACCAGCTGACAGAGTTATTCCTTAGGATTTACTCTGTCGGGTAAAGCATCAGTCTCTTGGTTGCCATCCCAACTCTGGAGAGTTCATGGGAATCATGGTTCACTGTGCTACAACCCTAACTAACACAGCTGTGTTAGTTTGGGCAAGATGATGCTTCCCTTCCAGAGCACACAGCCTAAACGTAATCCTAAGAGTACCCTTTACACCTTCTCCAAACACCCTCAACATCCAATCTAACAGCAATTATATCAATATCACCTACTGAAGACACCCACAATCCATGTTCCTCTCCTTTGTCTACCAGCACCATCCTAATAGAGGTGTTCTCATCTCTTACCCACAACACTGCAATAACTTTTCAATTAGGCTGCTTGCATCTGCTTTCTTTCTAATCCATTTTCCACCTTCAAGTAGGAATGATCTCTTCAAAACACAGCCTGCTGTGGCTTAGGTACTGGATAAGGGCAATATTGTCTTGAGACTATGAAGCCCTGTTTAACCTGGCCCATAGCTACTTGACCTCCTACCATTTCCTCATCACTATATTAGGTACTCAGTCTTCGCTCAGCCTCCTCTATCTCCCTCACACCCTCTCATCCGGAGTTGTCTCCACAGGCATTTCCTCTTGCTTTGAATGCCTTCCTATCCCTCTTTGGTACTAAGAATTTTTTTTTTGTGTGTAGCTCAGTGCAAGATCATTTCCTCAGGGAAACCTTTTCTGTTGCCAAGTTCTTCCAGCCCACTGTATCTCCTCTCCTATAATTATCTATCTCCATGGAGTCAATAAGCCCTTTGGGGCAAGTCTTTGTCCTCAGAATCTAATCCAGCTCTGATACACAGTAAATACTCAAAGATTCAGCTAAACTAGTTAATAATTAAAAGTAGACTTCACACTTCTTACTTATATTTTATTTTTTAATTTCCAGTGAAAGTAGAATTAATTCCAGCACTTAGGAGGGAGAGACAAGCATATCCCTGTGAGTTTGAGGCCAGCCTGGTCTACAGAGCAAGGTAGTGAACAGCCAGGGCTACACAAAGAAACCCTGTCTGGGGATGGGGGGGGAGTAGTTTAAAAAAGAAACAACAGCTAGGTGTGATCGTTAGTATGGCTGGCATCATCAAATGCTCTAACCATGGCACTAATCCAGTCTGTCACTCATGACGGCCATCCAGAAGAATTTCTAGGGTGGCCTCCATGGAACATATGTGGCATCATTTCAGGATCTCACAACCAGTTTATCCAGTAGACAATGAACCAACGCCTCTCTAGTAGCCTTGTTCTTTGGATGATGGAAGCTTTTAATCCATCTTGGTTTCTAAGATGGGCCCAGGATTCTTCTTATGCCTCTGCACCCTCTGTCACACTATCCACCAATTCTGACAGCCCATCAGCTGTGTAATCAGCAAATGGTGACCATCTTATTCCTATAGCTGTGAACATAAAATTCCTCACAGAAAATAAATAATTTCTCACTGACCTTGTTATTATGGTTGTTTAATAATCAAACAGAAATGGCTCTACTGGTTAAAATGACAGACTTTTCAAAAGCTAATCCATTTCAAAGAAAAAATTTCAACTCATATGAAAGTTACAAATGGCCCATGTTCTCTGCCCTGCACCTGTCACTTTTCCATTGAAATAGAGACAAAGTTTGCTATTGTGGTATAAAAGAAAAAGCAAAACACTGTTGTCACTGGGGTCACAGTATGTCTGGGCTCTTAAAGCTCTCAGTGGCATGAACTCAATTAGAATGGGGGCAAGACACAAACGAAGAGCAGTTCTGCCACAGTGGCAGGATCCGAGCTGGGCTTTCTTCATTTCCAATTTCAATGCCCATCTCAGTGCTTTGGGGTATTCTTTCTGTTTTAATTTAAAAACAGGATAAGGGCTTGAAAAATAAGTCTGCTAGTTTCCGAAGCTTTTCTTCCTCAGATCAAAAGGAGTGAGCTGCATCTGTTCCGGGTCCCACTGCGAGAATCAACAGTTCCTAAGGGCCTGCAGCTGCCAGTACCCCATCATTCAAGATGCCCACCGATGCTCAATCAGAAGCATGCCCTTTCTAGCAACATCTATGCCAGACAAGACCTTCAGACCTGTCACCCAAAGGAGACATAACCGCCCATAGTTGTCAATTTGATCTCTCCTTGGATCTGTTTCTGAGGAGTGACCCCCAAAATTACAGAGCTCCAGTAAGAATGAGTCAGTACTTAATGCTGCATGTCTGATAACAGAGTTCCATATTAGAATATCTCTAATATGTAGCAATTCATTTCAACAAAAACTGAGTGTCCTAAATACCAACTGCTGGGGATAAAAACAAATAAACTGGAGCTGCGGAAATTGCTCAGTGATGAAAGCACTTGCCATGCAAGGATGAGAATTGGCGTTTGGATCCCCAGAACCCACCTAAAGTACTAGGCGGGTGTGGAGGACCACCTTTCATTCTAGCCTTGGAAGATGGGAATGGGATCTCTTGAGCAAGCTGGCTAGCAAGGCTGGCTGAACTGGTGAGCCCTTCTGTCTTGATGAATAAGATGGAAGAAAAATTGGGGATAATTCTCATCAACCTCGGTCCGACACATACACCCACATGCATACTCACACACATGTGCCTACTAACATGCAAATATGCATAAAACCATGTCCTAGCTAGGATTACTATTGCTATGATGAAACACAATGACCAAAAATAACTTGGGGAAGAAGGGATTTATTTGGCTTACACTTCCACATCACTGCTCATCACTGAAGGAAGTCAGGGAAGGAACCTGATGCAGAGGCCATGGAGGAGTGCCGCTTACTGGAACTCCATGTATTCTCCATGGCTTGCTTTCTTATAGACCCAGAGCCTCCAGCCCAGGGGTGGCACCACTCACAGTGGGCTGGGCCCTCCCACATCAATCACTAATTAAGAAAATGCCTTACAGGCTCGTCTACAACCAGGTCTTATGGAGGCATTGTCTCAAGTGAGGTTCCCATCTCTCAAATGGCTCTAGCTTGTCTAAAGCTGATATAAAACTAGTCAGCACAACACACTAAAAAAAAACAAAAATAATTTTTAAAAAGGAGAAAAAGATGAATCAACGTTTATTGTGAAATTCAGACAAAAAAATCATTGGCTCCTTGGATAATTGAGGCAATAGTTACTAAAAGCCACAAAAAAATCTATCTGCACATTTTATTTAATTTTCATGATTCTTAATTACCCTGACTGTTCTCATTGTTCAGATAAAAAAAAAAAAGACTGAGCCAGGAAAAATATAGTGAACCTTTAGCCTCAGGTAAACAACTAAAGTTGTGTGTGCTCTTACCTTCAATCCAACCTGCCTCTGTCTGCGGACATCTTCTCCAGGATGCTGCCTCTGCCCCTCAACACTCATACTCTTAACTCAACAGCCATCCCTCCTGATCCCTCTAGTCCAAGCACAGAAGACACAGGGTCAACACAGTGCACAGTCTCTACCTCTTTAGAGAACACCATGTCCAACACCACAGCAGCACAACCTGAGTGCTAGAGTAGGGAAGGTACCAGGTACAAGGGAACACAGCAAAACACCTAACCACATTCAGAAAGGGCCCAGCATCTCAGAGCCCAGAAAGACCTCCGCATCAGACCG